TGAATTCAGTTTGACACACTTGAGAGCTGGAAAGGGGGAGAGCTGAGGTGGATGGAGCTCCAGCCAAAACCACATAGCTGGATGGTGAGTCAGCCGTGTTCCAATGGTGGCTTGGCCAGAGGAAGGGGGAACGAATTTGCCAGGAAACCGCCTGACATCCTGGTTGGACAATGTGACATATTGTTTTGGAAAATTGAAAAAAAAATCTAGTTATAGTGATGTGGGAAGCTGGGAAACTTTCAGTATTGGCCTTCTACCAGCTAGTGCCAAGATGGTATATCCTAATAAACTTGTTCTTTGAGGAATTGGAATGCCTCATATTTCATTTTATAATGGTTGCCTTACTTTGAACATGACAACATTACCCCCATCTACACTGACAGGACAAGCAAGTTTATATAAAAGGAAGTGAACCCAATTCTGTTTCTGCACTGAAAATGTTACCTACTCAAGCATGAAACATCTGTATAAAAACAACTCAGCTCAGAAAGCACCAGGACTCCACAGTTCAACTCAGAGCTGTTGATATTCTCTTCCTTGCCAGTTCTCCACTGACATTGGGGTTCTCCATGTAGGCATCAAATGCTTCAGAAAGCATACAAATGAGAGAAATTTGCATGTAGGAAAACTTCCATCCAGGAACAGCTGTTCTTTTTGAATGAATAGCATGTCCACAAGTGTCAGATGCAGACTCCAGTAAATGGCAGAACTGGATGGAAAATAGCAAAGTGGGCAAAAAAATATAATTATAATGACCATGGATATGCTTATATCTTATATTAAAAAATAATACCAGCACATCATAGATAACACCAAGGAGCAACTGGTGTCCCAGAATTATGTCCCAGAACATACAGTGTTGACAATTGCCACCAAGACTACATTTCTAAGACCAGCTTGAATGAGGAAAACAAAGCTTCAAAGCAAACTGCTCAAACTAAACCTAGGAGGAAAGAATCTGGCTGAGTTGTCAACTTGTCCAGCTGCCCACTATTCACAACAGAACACAATATCCTACATAAAGGCTTTAGTTATAACATATTGTAAATGATGTCAGTTATATTTTTTTGCAGTCTTGGAGGCAGCATTTAAAACCACAGAACTTATCACAGAAAGCCAAGAGAATGTAAGACAGATGATCCTATCAGAGACCGTAAGAGCACAGAACTAGAGCCAATTCAAAGCAGAGGACAGAACAACCCTCAAAAATCTAAAGAAGGACCAAACCATCATCATCCCCCCAAGCGGGCAAAGGTGGTACCACAGTCATGGTCAGATCACAAAGGAAAATGCATCCCTATAAATACCAACCCAGTGCAGAAACTAGACAACCTGATCAAGAGAACCCTTAACGAGCTAAACACAAAAAGTCAAATAATAAAAGAACAGTAGTGGGTGAAAAGCAGTGAAATCATCCTCCCACACTTCCAGGAACACCCCAAAATACACAAGCCTGGGCCTGGCATACCTTTTTTGATGGGTCCTTGGTGCTCTCTGAGCTTGGTGGTTTTCTTGAAGACATTTCAATACCTATATTAGATAACATCATCCGTGCTAGTCTAGAGCTGATGATGTTGCCTAGTTTGGGTAATGAAACATCTGCAAGAAAACTATCATGCTCAGAGAGCACCAAGCACCTCTCATTTCAACCCTGAGCTACAAATATTCTTCTTTATTGATACCTCTTTATCCAAGTGTATTGTTACCAGGGTCACCAAAGTACAACACAGGTAAAAAATGGCTTGAACATTTCACAGAAGGCAGTGAATACTCTATCATATCCTCACTACAGGACCTCCAGATCTCCAATAATTGTAGAAGATGAGATTATGGTTTCATTTAGTGTCATAATAATCTTTACATCCATAGACCCAGAACTAACGAAAGAATCTATGGCAGCAGTACTACACAGCAAAGGTGGTATTCAGCAGGTTCTGACTGGTTCTGGAGAACGAGTAGTGGAAATTTTGAGTAGTTTGGAGAACCAGCAAATACTAGCTCTGACTGGCCCCACTCCCATCTATTCTTTGCCTCCCGAGTCCCAGCTGATCGTCTGGGTCTTCTTTTGTTGCCCTGCACAGGAGAACGGAGCTGGAAAGCAGCGTGGTGGGGAAGAAATGGGATTTTGCAGTAACCTTCCCCTGCCACACCCTCCAAGCCATCCCCACCAAGCCATGCCCACAGAACCAGTAGTAATTTTTTTTTGAATCCCACCATTGCTACACACCACACTTAGCCTTCAACGAAGATTGAAATACCCACAAACATAAACTTTATCAACCTCTGCCTCTCCCACCTACTTTCAGTTTGATGGGCAAATGTGCCAACCAATCAAAAGAATCCCCATGGGATCACCACTCTCAGGAGTCATAGCAGAGTCTATAATGCAGCATCTACAAATTATAGCCCTCCCACACAAACAATCAAAAGAATGGGTCTGGAATGTAGATGACACCTTTAGCATAATAAAAAGGGACAACTAGAGAAGACACATGAAACCATCAACAACATCTTCAAAGGGATAAAATTTACAAGAGAGGAAGATGACAACCACACACTCCATCAGCAAAGGGATTAGTGGCAAATTAGAAACACAAGTCTATCAAACAACCATCTCCATTACACAAGTCTCCACCACTAAAATAACAACCTGGCTTTGTAAGAACATGGTTCAGAGGACCACAACCACACTGCAGCAACTCAGAACACCAGGAGGAGGAAACGAACTACATATACAATATTTTCCAACACCCATGCAACTTATCAAAAACTCCCTGACTACCCAATCCACTACAGCACAACCAAGACAAGCTATGAAAAGGATAATACTGCCATATATCAGAAACATCTGAGAAACAATCAACAGATTATAACCACATAGCTGTAGCTTACAAACCAACTAAAGTCTTCTGAAATGTCTTAAGTGATCCAAAAGACCCAATAGCCCAAGAAGAAAAAAACACAAGTCATCTACAACATACAGTAAAAGGAGTATAACTGCCTCTGGCAGAAGACTAGCAGAGTGCATCCATGAATACCCACTATTGATGAAAACTCCTGAATTTCAACCATAATGTTGACTGAGAAACTGTGAATATCCTAGATCAAACTAAATCCAAAACTACTTGGGAATTTTTGAAATTTTGGCCTCAGACAAATCAGCAAGTGCACAGAACTAAACAATATTTACATACCATTCAAAAGAGACAATAAAAAAGCTAAAATGGGAACAAAACAATTTTTTTTAAAAAAACAGAACACCATCTGGCCAGCAATCAAGATCCAGACAAGCAGAGATTAATACCAGGATTAACACCAGCCAAACAATCAAACAGTAAATAACAGCCCAATCAAAGTATTTAGGGGGAAAACATCACCCCCACCAACATTGTCAAGTGCAAGGTACTGTATATAACAGAGAGTAAACCCTGTTATATATCTTCCAGCATTGAAGATGTTACCTAATGGGGCAATGAAATGTCTGCATGAAAAACAATCCAGCTCAGAGCCACTCAGAACTCCAAATAGGAGAATTTCTTATTTCATAGAAGAGGGGGACTCATCGGATTACTTGAACTGGGTCATTGGTAACCGTGACACCCACTTTGAAGAGTGGTGGTTAAGAGGGTTTAGTATGGGGTGGAAGATCATCTCCGATAGTAGGTATGTATTTTTCTTTAGAGACCCACAGTAATCCCTTTGTGGTTATGGAAATAGGAAAACAGCAGGTAAGGTCTTAAACAGAATTAGGGGTATGTAGAACAGGCCCCTATTTATGCTAACCTAGAATGATCACATTGATTTCACTGGCAGACAGGTGAGAAAATCATAATCAGTAATCAGAAAGCCACTTCATATACTTACTAGAGAATAAATTTTTATTTATTTATTTATTTATTTATTTTGTCAAGCATGCATTTATATATATATATGTATAAACATGATTATTAATACATGAAATAGATACAAATAAAAGGGAACAGGAGGACAGGCACGGTAGGTACGTTGGTGCACTTACGCACGCCCCCTTATAGACCTCTTAGGAATGGTGAGATCAACAGTAGACAGTCTGAGGTTAAAGTCAGGGGTGGGATTCTACCGGTTCAGACCTGTTCGGGTGAACCCCTTGTTCCGAAGATCAGCTGGCAGTGAACTGGTTCGCTGCGATATGGGCCCGCCTGCCTGCCCCTACTCCTTCCTGTGCTTTATTTCCTTTTGTTAGACACACAGCTGATTTGTGCGGTAGAGCGGTTTGCCGTGCCTCAGCTGTTTTGTTCACAGGGACTGCAGTAGAAGGTAAGTATTAGAGCTTTTTAAAACACGCACAAAGTATGTGATCACCGAACCAGTTGTTACACCAGTGGAATCCCACCCCTGGTTAAAGTGATTGGGGTTAGTGGATAAAGTCTGAGAAGGTGTTTTTTTAATAATAAATCTTTTTCCTCTCTTGGGTTGGTATTTTAGACTGATTTGAAAATCTGAAGGCAAGATTAGAGGTTCCCTTAAATGTGATTGTACCTCCATATTTATATGGAGAAAGAGCAGAAGTATATTTCTAATTAGGATTATAACACCCAGTAAATATGAAAGGTTTCACTAATGCTGTAGGTTGCATCAATGTAAACAATGTCCTGAATGTACAGATAAAAAAATAAATATGTTTTTCCATATTTAACTATTTTAATAATTAAAGTTTCTGCCAATTTGGGAATGTGACTGTTAGATCTTTGCTGGAAGGGCATTGACTCTTGATGGCTGGGAGTGATGGAAGATGTTGTTCAGCACATCTGGAGGCTACTAGTTTGTAAAAAAAAGTTATAGAAATTGCTTGGATTCAACTGCTTTATTTTTTTTAAAAAAACATCATTTTTATAGCTGACAGTTCCAATTGCTGGATCCTCCATGGATACTGACATAGTGCACGCACGAAGGTATTTTTGAATGCAGAGCATTTCTTTCCTTTTTTTTGGATGGATCCAGATCGAAAAGCGATATATTTCCAGAAAAAAAACAGGGTATTTTTTAGTAATGAATTACTGCTTTAACTTGGTATCTATGGAAGAGATTGTCTATAGTGGAGTTATTTGCTTGGCTCAAAAAAATCATCTGGAACAACTTTTGGTGCCCACCAAATCTGGTAGATTTCTCTTTAATCTGCAACCAGTTGAATCCATGAAGATGTATGATGACAGGAATGAGGCATAATGAGATAATTTCAAGATCAAGAAGGTCTGACTTCTATGACACACTCCTCCAACAATTATATTTTTAACTGACAGTTTATGGGGGCAGGAAAATGACCCACTTAAGAAACAATAAGCAACACTCAAGAGGATTATATAGAAATAGGTCAATAGAGGAAGGACCTGCATCAGATAATCAGGCCGCATCTGCTTACATCTTGTAGAATCTGGTGGCAAAGCCATAAAATATCTATGTGGGATGAAGTTAAATTCAAATGAGCTTGTTGAAGAAAGTGCATGGCATAAATTAGACTGCACTGAATAACAGCATGCCTTCTAATCAATTTCTCCCAAATTACAAATATTTAATCATATTGGAGTTTGTAGTAATTGGGTGTTTTGTAACTCAGTGAAAATATACAATACTATACAGTGTTTTTATTTTGGCCTTGGACAATATAAAGTAAAAACATCAACAATATGAAATTAAATGCAATATGTATTGACAGAAATGTACATCAAAGAAGACCACCATGTTCAGTGTTTTTAATGTGTATACTCAATAAAAAATGTAAAAAGCCAATATGAAATTAACAATTGCAATATGTAGAAACAGAATTTCTACTGAAGGTTGTGATAGATATGAACATCTATTTAATTTTGATTATTCTGTAATCCTTGGGGATGGTATGTTGAAATCATGGAACCAGTTAGTTAAAAAAATATATCCTAGTACCTTGATTAAGAAACCAAGTCTAGTGGTAGAAAATTGGCTGTGCCAATTTTTTTGGGGGGTGGGTGGGGGTGTCCTTAGTTTTTCATAGAAACCCATCAGTTCACATAAACCTGATTGGTTCGGAAAACCAATTTAAAATAATTGTCTGAATCTTTTGTTAAAAATATCTCTCTTTTCACTGGATAGCTTATTAATGTGAATTGACTTTTGGAGCCAGCAATACAAATGTTGATCATGATTACGTGGGTTCATCTTATCTTGATCTATTGGATAGTCACTGAAGGTTATATCCCCATATGTATCAGTTATAGAAAGGAGTTGGGCCAATGAAATTATTGGGATGGCTTGGGATGATGATATTACTTATTGCTTGGTACTCAATTGCTTTGAAACTCATTGAATTTGGTACTCAAGGCATTTTTGACTTGAAAATTTTGTTTGGTACCCAATGCACAAACTGGAAATTGTCAGTGTCACCTGCCTTGTGACTCATTACATTATTCCTTATGGGAAAAATTGTTTGGTACTGATTGGTTTTGGTACTTATCATGCCTCCCAGAACCAATTAATGAGTACCAAGGTACCACTGTATTACTTCCTCTATTACAGCCCACAGGGCAACCCTCTACATTTTATGATACAGCTGTCAGAAAATCTGAGAAACAGCAACCATGACCATCTCTCTGTGTGTGTCAAAATCTGAAACATGGTAAGCGTGGCAGCACAATCCACAATCTTCTCCTTTTGGACCTGTATTACACATACAATGAAATAGGAAGGGCTTGGATCACAAGGCTTCCTTACCCATTTTCAACCCTCCCCACATTCCACACATACAATGTGGATATCACTGATGCTGAGCCAGAATTGTGTGCGGAGTGGGGAATCTATGGGTTATATATCTAAAACTGGGAGGAAGGCACCAGAATGAGACTAGTATAAATGAACTTATACAAATTAACTCAAGTTAGCAATTATTGTCCAGTATTTTGGAATTACGGTTGTGATCATAACTCAAGGTATTATTTGACTGGACTTGATTTTTCAACATTTTGGGGGTGATAATTATGAATGAATGTGAATTCATATCCCCAGTGATCTTTGCCCAAAGCAGAATAAACATTGAAACAGGCAAAAAAAAAGTCACATATTAAAGTCACATGAGCTTGGGGTGCTGCAAATGGCCATAAAAGGTGAGCTGATTGCCAAGCGCCCCAAATGCAATCACATGGCTGAGGGTGTGTATGTGCATTGCCATAACTTGGAAAATAGGTTGTAAGTCTCTCTCTCTCTCTCTCTTCCTCCCTCCCTCCCTCCCTCCCTCTACACACATACACACTGTCAGGGCTCCAATAAATCCCCCTCATTCAAAGCAAAAGTCTCTAGCTGCATCTCAGAAAAAGTAAATTGGTTTATTAGTAATTGCCATGAAGGTGCATGGCTGGGTGCAGCCAGTACTAAATCACATCATACATTTCCCCCTTGACCCTGGTCTTTCCCCCACCCCCTGGATGTGACTTCTCCAATGGGACACATCAGTCTCCAAGAGTCATCCATCATGCTCTCCAATAACCTTCTTACACTAGGACAACTTTGGGCTGCTGAGTTGATATCTAGGCATTTCAAGAATGCCTTGTTTTCCCCCACTCCCTTTTTCTGGCAGCTAAAAAGACCAAAGGAGTATCTTTTTAGTACACACACACACACACACACACACACACACAAAATTTTGAGTTGCTTGCACTTGAAAAGCAAGAAACAACGAACTGGAAAACAGATGTATATCCAGAAGAGAAAGCCCTACATAGCAAACAAACAAACAAACAAACAAACAAACCCCAACACCTTGCATCTATTCTACTTCAAGACCTTGGGAGAATAGCCAGGTTTTAAAGGATTTTGAGTATGTCATCAGGATGGAACGTGTGTGAGGATACTGGGTGAATTAAATTTGCATCTGCAGAACAGAGTTAAAACCTATTTTTTGTTTAGACCTTTTTCTAGGACATTATTTAAAATGGGAAAAAGGAAGAAAGAGGCAAAAAAGAAATCCATTAATCTGGGCAGTGAAACTGATAAGTGGATGTCTGATTTACCAGAAAGTCTTTGGGCTGTACCCCTCTCTAATCTGTCATTACCAGGTAAGTAATGCATTTTGAAACAAAATTGGATAATTGGAAAAAAAAATTTAAACACACCACACCACATTATAACATATCATAACATAACAACACATAACAGCACAACACAACGCAACATAACATAACATCATAACAAACATATTTAACATTACCTTTTCAACTTCTTAATAACTTTGCATATCTCTTCAAAAAGTGTAGAAATAAATGGTGGATTTGCCCAGTGCCACAGATATATCTGGGTGAACTTTAGAGCTTTAGAACATTCTATTGTGTTCTGTGCATCTTGTCAAATGTTTCTAAAATAAAAGGATGTTAGTGAAATCCAAACTTTAAACCACCCCTTGAAGAAAAAAAAATCACCAAGACCACGCAATGTTTTTTTTTATTTTCCTTGCTCAGTCTGTAGTGGCAACCCATGCAGTTGGATGGGTGGGATATATCCTTTATTCCATGAATCTGAGAATCAGATAGAAGTTTTTTTTTTTCAATTTCCCAACCTTCATAAACCCTGATTTAAAGAAATGCATAAGACTTCCCAGGATAGCTTTAATTGAACCTTATGAAATAAAAGTTGCTCAAATGCAGAGGCCTCCAAACTTGGCAACTTTAAGACTTGTGGATTTCAACTCACAGAATACCAAGTTTTGGGACCCCTGCTCTAATGGTTACCCAAACCAAGTCCTATCAATCTCTAAATTAAAGTGTGATGAAAATCACCCCCATTTGGATGATGCTCCAAAAAATAAAGAAGAACACAGGAAGAAACAAATCCCTGCACCATACATCTCCCAAGGGATGTCTGGTGCCAGAAGTACAGCACATATGAACCATCCAGGGCAGCAAAGCTGGCTGAGGAATTCTGGGAGTTGAAGTCCACAAGTCTTAAAGTTGCTAAGGTTGGAGACCCCTGATCCAGGGGGTTCTTAGGTAGCACTTATATTTGATACAGATATCAAAGAAGGATTGTTTTAATGAAGAGAAGTGTGTTACCTTACTTTAACATTACAAAAGAAGCCATCCTTTGTTGATGATTACCTGATCACATTCAATCCCTTTGCTCTCAGGTGAGATTTATTACCTGTATTTATTACTTGTAATAATCTTTGATGGTTTGCTGGGAATTATAAAAAAAGCTCCAAAGGGCAGACTTGATGGACCACTAGATCTGTTTCTGCAGTCAGTTTACTCTGGTTTTACATTAGAGTAAGAAGAGTTTTAGAGTGAACTCTGGTGCAGCGGTAAGATTTGAAAAGGTTGACAAATGATTAGGATAAGGTTGACTTCATCTTTAATCCTATATAGGTAGTCATGATGCAATGACATATTGTCTGGATAAGAAATCAGAAGTCAGTGCGAACGGATCCAAATTGTTGCAGCTACTAGATAAACATATGCATTGCATAGTGCACCCTATTATTTTGAGATGGTCAATAACACAGGTAAATATTTTTGGACTTTCCACTTTGTCTTTTTTGAGCTCTGTTTTTCCAATATTAAATTTGCTTATTTTTTTTGTTTCTGCAATACACAGAATAATGCAGGTATCATAAGAAAGAGAAAAATTATTGGATGAAAGTGGTCTATGTTCCATTTATTTTGTGTTATATTATGGATTTTACCATTGCAGACTGCAATCCAAAATTGTCTTCCTAAAACTGTTTAAAATTTATGAAATGTATAACATTGAAACATAATTACATATATCTTTCTTGCAAGCATTTTGGAAACCTTTGGATTTTTTTTTTTAACTTTTCAGGATCTGACTGTGTTGGAACAATTGGATGCTGGAATTAGGTATTTCGATTTTAGAATAGCTCACAAACCTGATGATCCTTCCATGAAATTATACTTTGTTCATATGTTATATACAACGGTGGAAGTTGAGGTACATTTTCTTAAGTTAAATCCATTGAAATAATTGTTTTAAGTGAAATACACTATTTAAAAAATGTGTTGTGAAGTGTCCCTTCTGTACAGAACTGAGGAAACCCACCATTTTGGTAGTAATATGCTTTTTTCCCCCTGTTCTGGCAGAGTGGAGACTCATTTATGTTATCAGAATTAGAAAACAACTATTTCCTTTGTCCCTAAAAGCTAGATATTGATTTCTCATATAGATATTCCCTACCATGAACAATTGCATTTGGTCCAGAATCTCCATTTTGACTTCTTGTCCAACGCCATCATATCTTTTGAAGAATTCTAGAAATGTAAACATTTGCCATGTTGTATCCCGTTTTTGTTGTGTTAGGCATTTTTAGATTTATTTGTAAATATTTTTAGATATTTTTTAAATTTGTAAACCAACATAAAGCACAATGGGGAAACTAATGTTGGAAGCAGGAATTTCCTATAGTTCTGTCAGTGATTTTTAGATCATATAGATTGTGTCCAGACCATGTGTTGTCATTTTGCAGCAATAAAATAAGCTCAAACTCTCCACCAAAGTAATATCGAAGTATCCCAAGACTGAGTTAAACAAATAGAACCATCTTATGAAGAAAGAAAAACCTTTTGGAAAATTGGATGGCAGATTTTGTAACAATATTATCATAAATTAAGTAGGAAAATGCCAGATTAACTTGCTAACATAAATGCATGTCAGATTTGATAGATACTGCAAACACTGTTCTGCTATGTATGTTAAATAGTAGCAGTTTCTCACTGGTTCCAAAGTGAGGTTGTCTTGCTTGTTTATTTGCTTCAAAATAAGTACATTGGTTACCTGTATTATTCAACTCATGATACCTTCTGAAGGCTTAAGGTAATACCAAGCCACTAAATGACTAAGAATAATAATAAAATATATAACGTTGATGAAATTGAAGTTAATGGGACCTTACAACAAAACAATGGTGGCCTCTGATAGTGAGGTTGGAAAGAGTCAGGAATAGTTGAGACCAGAAATGTTAGCTAAGATTATTTCTGTTAAAATTGGTGATGATTTCCATATGAAACTTAAATACATGTTACTTATGAACTGCAACCTTTGTGGTTACAGTATAATCTAATGTTTAGATATAGCAATTTTGAAGATACAGTTGAATTTGACATGGTTTTCAGTGATAAGGTTTAGAAATTTCTAAATTTCTAGTATTATAGAAACACTATAGTTTAGTTTTTAGTTTATTATATTGTCTTTGCACCTCATACAACAAAATTAATGCCATCTTCAGTGTACAGTATAATTATGAAAATAAAACACAAACACACATTCTTCACATTCTATACAATTGAATTGGAAACCCCTGATATTGCATTAATATTGCACTATACCGTAGAATTCAGTATAGTTACTGCTCTGGGATAGAAGCTATTTTTCAGCCTGTATGTCCTTGTTTTTATTATCCTGTACCATTTGCCAGATGGTAATTGTTCAAAAAAAAAAAAGGTGCCCAAGATGAGATGGATCTTTAACAATGTTTTTAACTTTCTTAAGGCAGTGGGAGCTATAAAGCTCTTCCAAAGAGGGGAGAGGGCAACCAATGATCCTCTGGGCAATGACGTTAATACTCTGGAGTGCTATCCTATCTGCCACTGTGCAATTGGCAAACCATACAGAGGTGCAGTAAGTTAAGATACTCTCTATGGTGCAGCGGTAGAAGGTCACCAGCAGTTTTTCATTCAATTGTTGTTTTCTGAGAAGTCTCAGGTAGTATAATCTCTGCTGGGCTCTTTTAACCAGTGTTGCAATGTGAGCATCACAGGTCAGGTCCTCTTTTATGATAACACCCAGAAATTTAAAACTAGCCACATTCTCCACTTGTTCTCCATCGATAGCCAAGGGCTGGATGTTTGATCTATTCCTTCCATAATCCACTATAAGCTCCTTGGTCTTATTGGTGTTAAGGACCATATTATTGTTTCCACACCACGAAGCAATCAGTCCATCTCATCTTGATGGGCAGACTCATTCTGCCCACCACTGTTGTATCATATGCAAATTTAATAATAGTATTACTGGTATGAGTGGGAATGCAGTCATGAACATAAAGAGTATAGAGTCAGGGAATCAACACGCAACTCTGTGGTGTAGCAGTGTTAAGAATAAGGGCTGAAGATGTATGATTACCTAATCTGACCCTCTGAGAACAGCCATACAGGAATTCCCCAATCCAAAGGCAGATTGAATAAGGAACCCCAAGATCCATAAGTTTATAATATATATATAATAATATTTCTATAATACTAGTATTATATAGGATCAATACTTCATTTACTGTAGCTTCCATTAAAATGAATTTAAATCAACCCAGAACTAATTTGCCCCATTGATTTCAACAGGATGTACATTAAATGAAGTTGGTTTGGATAAAACCCAATGCATTAAGTCAGGAAGTGGCCAGCTTTCAAGATATGAATTTCCTAATAATCACTGCGTGAATTAACTCCTAAACTTGTGCTTAGTAAAGATTCAGAAATGATCATACTGACTCAGGCATTCATGCCACGGCAGCTCCATGTCACATCCAGTTACATATTTTGCTCTGTTGTAAAAATTATTAAGATTCCACAGTGCTTATTATAGCATAAATTCCTAGTTGAAAAAAAACCTAAACTCTTCTGAATAACAGGACTATCCTTAGCAAAATTCATTTGGTCATGCTTTGATGTATCTTCTAGGTGCAAACAATTTTGAACAATGTCTTCAATTTTTTTTAACAGATGTCATCATTGTTAGGCTAGAATATTCTCTCTCTCTCCCCCCCCCTCTCTCTCTCTCCCTCCCTCCGTCCTTCCCTCCCTCCCTCCCTCTGTTCCCTCCCTCCCTCCCTCTGTCCCCTCCCTCCCTCTCTCCCTTATCATTTTGCAGCACATTTGACAACTGATTTTTTAGGATCAAGTCAAGAAAGCGACTCCCAAATGATTGGCCAAGGAGCATTTGTACAGGAATATTCTGCAGAATTTCAACAATCTGTTTAGGATCAGGGCTGCAATTAAAGAGCATAGTAACAATTCTGGAGAAAAAGAATAGTGTTGTTCCTGTCTCTTTGGATAATGTTCTTTTTAAGAAGGATAATCTTTTTTAACATACTAGTAATTTTCAGTTTGTTGGATTACAAATACTTTATAAAACATGACAATTGAAGCTAAGCTTTCTAGAAATCACAATGTAGATAATATTTCATAGTTATAGTAACATTTAGTTGGATTTTGTATGGTTTGCTAGATTATAAGTTTATGTACATCAAACAGAAAAGAATATGCAAATAGCAAGTTTCCAGTTCATATGGAATATCCTATACAATGAACATCTCCTGGTCTGATAGTATGATACAATAGCATTGAGAAATTTGCCAATTATAATTGATTCATTTTCCTTCTGTCACAAATCCATGTCTCACAGTGTATATTATCAATCTTACATTGATTTTTATAGGTTATTCTGTGGGACATTTTACGATGGTTGAAAAATCATCCTTGGGAGGTTGTTGTTCTAGCTTTCAGAAATTTTGATGGCTTGGATGGGAATCATCACAAACATTTGGTCTCCTGTATACAGAAGATCTTCAGTTACAGATTGTGTCCTAGAAATGTGAGTTGCTTAGAAAATGTAGTTTTAATATTTTGAGACTGTGAGATTCCTAATTCACTTTGGTCAGATATTGTATTGTGGGAATATGGAGTGATCATATACAACTCTGAGTTATACTGTAATACTTGGCAAAATTTGAACAATTCTGGGTAATAGTAAATAGTAAAAATTTTGTTTGTTTGTTTGTTTTTGTTGGTTTTGTTTTCCCAGATTTTGTTCTATTGTACTTTACTAATTTATTTGATTCTTTTTTGTTAGTTTTTATTGTTTTTTATTTTTATTTTTTGTTTTAAATATGGTTTTACATTGTCTAAGCTGCCTCGAGTTGCCATGGGCGAATAGGCGGTGATATAAATAAAGTAAATAAATAAATAAATAAATAAGATGACTCCCGCAGAACTTTTCCAATCGAATTCATCACAGCTGTATCCCAAGTCTCTTTGATATGAATAATAGAGAGTAAAGGGATCAGGCTAGAAAGTGGGAGCCTGTGAGTTCTAATTCCACTTTAGCTATGAAAGCCAGTTGAATACTTTGGACTAGTCATTCTTTCTCTTAGCCCAACTCACCTCACAAGGTTGCTATTGTGGAGAAAATAGGAGGAGGAAGGTATGTTGCATATGTTTACTTTCTTGAATTATTTGTAAAAATAATAAAGGTGGGATATAAATAATTGTAATACAAAATGTTATCTTATTCTTCCTTTCAGATTATTCCAACCCTGCACAATATGTGGTCAAATGGATACCAAGTTATTGTGTCTTATGACAACATAATGCAGGTGGTACAACATAGTGAATTGTGGCCTGAAATTCCATACTGGTGGGGAAATAAGGATACAGCACAAAAGCTTATTGAGTTTTTGGAAAAAAAGAAGCAAAGTGGTCGCCCAGGTATTTGTCCTTGTGCATACATGGTGTATATCCTGAATCAGCTCCTGAGCTCCCCTCCAGGAGCATTCCCACATATATCCACCAAGACTCAGCAACCAGCTTTTGTGATGATGGAACAAAAACCACAAAAAACAAAAAAGCCAAGCAATCTTCAGTTTATGAGGATTTGCTTTAGGTCTGGTGATCAAATCAGGAGGAAGTCACTGATGTTCCTCTGTCCCTAGTGATATTACTCCAATTTGATGAGATTTCCTGCAGCCCATTTTTTTTGGCTGGAAACAAGATTCCAAAATTTTCACATTATTCAAAAATGTGTTCCCATCTTTGCAGTCAGATGGATATATGTACAAATGCTTTTCATATTAAAAAAAGCTTTAATATGAGCAGAGCAACATTTGATAAACTGAATAACAAGGATGTTGAAAACACCTGTTTTAATTTGGGTCGACTTGGGGATACTCAGGCAAACATTTCTAAAGTGAATTTGGGATTCATCCAAAATAAGATGTAAGAAAGGTATATTCTTTCTGCTCCTTAGTTGCCAGTAACCTGAGGGATGCTCATAATGCATATGGTTTGCAAATAAAGCGAGTTACCATATCCTACTAAAATAAATGGATGAGACATTCCCTTCTTTGGAGAATTGTTGGTAATTGTTACAAGAAACAAATGGCAATTCTTATTCCTGTTTTTTTTCTGCCTTTCAGATGGATTATTTGTCGCAGGAATCAATCTTACCGCAGATTTAGGATATATTTTGACAAATATAAACAGCTCTGTTAAAAAAATGGCTCTGAAGGCTCTTCCATTCCTAAATTTGTGGGTAAAGAAACAGCATCCTGGATCAAAAAAGGATTGCATTAACATCATTGCTGGAGACTTCATAGAAAAGAATAATTTTGTAGAGAATGTGATAAACCTTAATAGCAAACTGATTTCACAATAACTCTATTTTGATCATTTTGAAAGGAGATGATGGGAGATGATTGTTTTGAAAGGAGATGATGGGACTAACTGCAAGGATAAAGTAAGATATAATATAGTAAATAATTCCCTTACTCATATTTTAACTTGCAGTTAAGTATTTATTTAAAAACTGTATTTAAACATCACTGTAGAAAATGTCATAATTTTAAAAAAAAACTTCATGGAAAAATGGTTTTCCTGCAAAATGTGCAGCATCTACAAAATTTTGAAACATGGAGAACTTTGATCAACTAGTTAGTACTGAAATATTACTGTAGAGGTAGTATGTTTGAGTATCTCTGTGCTGTCCCGCTCACTTGCACACACATGTAACAGTGCTTTAGTAGATTTATTATTGTTCCATGGCAATTCCCTACACCAAAACCTCAGAACTGTCCCAATTACATCCAGCCAAAAGCAGACCTATGTTAATCCACACAGCAGTGGCCAATGAGTCGACAAAGTACTTGTAAGGTTTTCAGGCAAGACAAATCCACCAGGTAGAATTAAATCCACAGCACAAGGAAATTCACGAGGCAAGAAAAATCCAGAGTTCACAAGCCATGATCCAAAGTCAAGGCATGGTGTCAGTCCAAAGCAAGCCAGTCATCCCAGTCCCGAAGAAAAAAACTGCCTGAATGACTTACCGACCTATTGCATTAACATCTGTAGTGATGAAGTGCTTCAAGAAATTGTTTCTTCAACACCTTAGGTCATGCCTCCCACCAAATTTTGACCAATACCAGTTTGCTTACAAGGAGAATAGCAGAGGTAGTATTCAGCAGGTTCTGACCAGTTCTGGAGAACCGGTAGTGGAAATTTTGAGTAGTTCGGAGAACCGGTAAATACCAGCTCTGACTGGCCCCGCCCCCATCTATTCCCTGCCTCCCGAGTCCCAGCTGATAGGCTGGGTCTTCTTTGGTTGCCCTGCACAGGAGAACAGAACTGGAAAGCAGGTTAGTGGGGTGGGGAGGGAATGTGGATTTTGCAGTAACCTTTCCCTGCCAGGCCCACCAAGCCACACCTACAGAATTGGTAGTAAAATTTTGAATCCCACCAGTGGAGAGCAGGTCGACAGATGACACCATAGCTACTGGTTTACATTTTGTAGTGAGTCATCTAGAGAAACCCGGAAACTATGTCAAAATGCTTTTCATAAACTACAGCTTGGCCTTTAACACCATTCTGCCGAGCATCCTCATTGAAAAGTTGACTGACTTGAATTTCTGGATTAAAAACTTTCTGATGGATCAGCCACAGTGAGGGCTGGGTCTTTCATATCCTCCTCCCTGAAGGTAGGCAGAGCTGAAAATCTAGCCAAATGATTTTAATGTAAATATAATGACATCTTTAGTGACATTAACTGTATACTATAAAACTGTAAGTGTTTAAGTAGGCCAGAGGCTTAGCAGTATGCAAAAAGCAAAAAGCACAGTTTTTTAATTCTATTTTTTTAAATCTCTCTCAGGTTTGGCTGACTTTTTCAAGTATAAAAAGGTAGGAAGGGTATTTGTTGCTGTATTGGCAGCTGTAAAGTGGAAAATTGTATTCAACTTTCCATAAATGCAGCTATAAAATGAGAAAGAAAAATATCTGGGGCAACCAGCTCTAAATATTAAGTATTTCTTTGGCCAGGACTTTTCAGTTCAAGGTCACACTTGGTTTATGAGTGATATACTGTGGAGAACACTCCCCAAAGAGTTGGTACCAAGATAAAAGCCATATTTAAAACCAATTAATTTGTATTAATATTATATTAGCTAAAGTTAATATTATTAAAGTTAATATTTTTACATGTAATCATTTTCCTTTTGTGTAGCAGGGAAACATACAATTCAGTAGTGATTTCTGGAGGAATGCCAAAGCTGCATATGGAACTCTGGAAGTCATGTCCCTATGTTGTATTCTGTAATTGCAGATGGATTTCAGTGGTTTAAATTTTCACGGAGTGAAGGGGTGGGCTACAAAAACATTCAAGAAATTAGCCCAAATAAGAGAAGCAGCAATGATGGATGAAGGCCTAGGTCTAGGACAAATTCTGATTTGGTCAGTAAGCTACACAAGAAGTTCTCAAAGCCAAGGTAGAATAAAGCTTCAATAAAATACACAATATTTCTACAATTAACTTTCATAGAGGGTGATGGAAGGTCTGCTCAAAGTGGTTCAGAGCAGAGGTGGTATTCAGCAGGTTCTGACCAGTTCTGGAGAACTGGTAGTGGAAATTTTGAGTAGTTCAGAGAACCGGCAAATACCTCCTCTGACTGGTCCCGCCCCCATCTATTCTCTGCCTCCCGAGTCCCAGCTGGGTCTTCTTTTGTTGCCCTGCACAGGAGAATGGAGCAGAAAAGCAGGTTAGTGTGGTGGGGAAGGAATGGGATTTTGCAGTATTCTTCCCTTGGAGTGAAGCGGGATTGGAGATTTTACAGTATTCTTCCCCTGCCACGCCCACCAAGCTAGCCCATTAAGCCACACCATGCCCACAGAACCGGTAGTAAATTTTTTTGAATCCCATCACTGATTCAGAGTTAAGAACTTAATCTAGCAGACAGGTGCAATGTGGCTTGTTAAATTATATTCTATTTTCATATTTAGGTTGACAATTTATATAAATTTTATGTTGACAGACAGAAAACAGTAGTCATCACAACTTAATATACCCAAAGTTGATATGGTTGTGATGTAAGTAGTAGATTATTATTGATAGTTAGGTTTATGGCCGTTTCTTCAGCAGAAGATAGTTTACACGGGATTACCCATCAGTTTATATCCATATTTTATCCCACAATATGGTGAGACTAATCAGACCAAGAATGTTTAACTGGATCAAAGTCAATAAAATTTCCATGGCTGAGATAATAGCCTTGTTCTCTCTAGTTCAGGACTGCCCTGGGAAACAGGACTTAACTTTCCTGAAGAAAGGAAATTGTTTCATGATAGCTGAGGTTTATGAGGTTGTATAGTATCTTCTTTCACAGACGATGGATTAGGAATGGGAAGTGGACTATGAATAGCACCCTCCCAACCATTTTCTTGATCAACCACCGCAAATAACTGTATGCTGAGATGTTTGCTCTGAGAATCTTCCACAATACCTGTAGCAGGAGTGACAATAACTAATTCTGTACCTCAAAAATAGAATTAAGCTAATGGGTACTACAAATTCAAGTCACATATACTCCTGAGTGTATATTTTCCAGCATTAAGCATACTAACCGTAACTCTCTTGGCCTTGTAAAGGGCTGGAAACCTGGCTTTGCCAATTGGCTTGGGGCCCTGATGTGGGTTCCCCTGCTGTAGATAGTAGACTAAGTAGGCAATCTCATCTGCACCTCAGGTTCCTAGTTTACCCAGCTTTATGTCAATGTTCAGTGTTTTAATGTTTTATACTGCTGTTTTTATGATGTTGCAAGCTGCCCAGAATTGACTGACAATGAGAAGAGTGGCACATGAATTTAATAAATAAATGAAACACTTCAACCTCTCTACTCAATATAATTGTTGCATATAGATAACCACTTCCTGTACAGAAATTTAAAATTGTCCTGGAACAGCTTTCTTCTCATTGTCATCACTAACTCAGTGTTGAAAAGCTGACCACTTTATATCAGGAGAACATTTTTATTAACCATGTTTACATTAATTTTTAAGTCCACTGGAGTCAACGTTGTGTATGCAGTTTCATCACTGTGATTGCTCTTGTTTCTTAAAAATTTGCTGGAAAACCTTTCTCCCAGAAGCAAAGCAGGTTGTGGCTATCAAGACAGATAACTAGACTGAGGAAATAGTCGTTTGCATTTCCACAGGGCAGAGTCGCTTATGATGACCTTTACTTTAGCTGTATTATCTTCAGGAGCAACATCAACTTCTTGTACTACTGCTTCTTTGTACAGCCAACTGCAATGATATAATTGAACTGTTGTTTTATTACTAGAGAAATAACATTATCAATCAGATTATCACAAATCCCATGGTTTTGAGGATCAGAAATATATTCCAAGCTTGCATGTTTTCTCTTACTTTTTGTAAAATTAAATAATTTTAATCTGAAAGGATAGTTTGGAAGACTTTTTGAAATGGGTTTCCTGAGGTTTCACTTAGCAACTGTTTGAAGTTATCGCCTACCTCAAAAAGGGGACTTACAACCCAGATCTGAAGTTCCAATAGTTGGCCTCCCTGAAGTTATGTGATTGCTCTTTGCATGCTCTGGAACATGATGGCATTTATGGCCATTTGCAGCATCCTGCAGTCCTGTGACCATGTTTTAAGACAGTTTTGCAGAAAATAAGCATCTGGCACTTCCAATTTTTAATAAAACTGCACCACAGTGAACAGTGGGTTCGCTTAACAATGCGTGACCACAGCTCTGTAGCTTACTATTATATCTATAGCTTGTTTTTTTGCTGCTGGCAGGCAGCATTTGTGTAAATGCACAGCCAATAAATTAACAGAGAAAAATGTTTTTAGATATTAAATGGGCTTAGCAAACAAAAAAAGGGGTGAGCAAATAGTATCCAACTTGTCTAAAGAGTCAGTACAGCAAAAAGAACCAAAAGCAAACTGTTTCTAAAAAGTAGAATTTTGATACTAATTGACATGATTTTCCAGCCACAACTGGTATGTAGTTGTCACTGACCTGAGCTGAGGTCCAGATAAATTGATTTTAATTGTCATAAATTTTTTCCCAGTTCCTTTCAAAACTCTTGCCTCGATTTCTTCTTTCAGCTCTTTTAAACCATGTCCAAGGAGAGCTGAAGTGACTATAGCATTTTGTTCTTTAGGTTGATACCTAGCAGCAAACAGACATCAAAAAAATAGACCTTGGCACAGGAGACAATTGTGAAAAAACTATAGAAATTTAGCCTGTTTATCTTATAGGACTATAGATTTCATATTTTAGTTTGTTGTAAATAAGTAAAAAACATTTATTTTCTGATGGGTATTTATCATATTAATATCATATAGTAGGAAAACAACCTACGTTACATACTAACTATGTATTAGTTTTCCATACCAAGACAATTTTGTTTGGAAGATAATTTAGAAGTATCAGAGAGAATTAGAAGGGTTTCTTCTACCCCAGATCCACTCCAGATTGTTATTATTGTCTGTTCTTTGGGTAGAATCCTAGGATTTTATTTATTTTAAATAAGTCTTAAACATACCATGTAAACTGATCCTTTTTCCCTGTAGAAGAATGCAGCTAACATAAATTTAATAAGTAAATAAATAATAAAATAGCACACTTAGCTATCAGCATCACTTATGCTTCCACAAACTATGTCAATTCTAGAAGCATCTTTAGGCTAAAAAAAAAAGTATCCTTCAGAAACTAATTTTGTCCTGTTATAAATGAATCATTGATCCGATTAATTAAATTTCTGCTGCACATTATAATGAAAATAATTCTGGGATACAAAATGTTCTGTTTCTTAGTCAAGACATAAACTACAGTAGCATTTTGAAAGTTAGGGTCTCTCTTACCTATCTACTAAATCCACTTTATTGTGTACTTCAATAATGGATTCAAGTAGATGATTGGGAATATTAAGATTCTTGAGAACTGATAATACAGTTTTCTTCTGGAGGCTGGTTTCTGGATGGCTAACGTCTCTCACATGAACAATTAAATCCTAGCAGCAAATAACACACACTCAAGTTATTTGATGGGAAGAAAAAAATGTAGATTTTCTTAAGGCATTACAATACAAGCTATAAAACTGAAACTAAACTATACTGGAAAAGTGTTATATGGCTTATATTTAACATGAATGCTGCAAGAAATACCATAAAATAAAAATAAATTGCATGGTAAAAACCAAATGTTAACTTCAATTTGTGTCCAAACCCAAACTCACAACTGATGTCAATCAATGAATCCACTATTATTCAAAAGATGCTGTGCTGACAGGATTCTTACTACCATTGTAGCCTAACTGAAGCCAAAATTAAGAAGTTGTTCAGTATTTTTTGTTAGTCCCAATATACAAACAATCCTCTCATAGTTATTGTCATAGACTAACTAATTCAAAGTAGGTTCAAGACAGTATCATGAAGCATTCTACTATGCTGTCTAATTCTAAAGCAAATGATGAACATGATTCAGCCTGAATAAGTCAACTCCTGGATGAAGGCTTTCTCACTGAAAGTTATGGACCTAATCTACCAGACTGCTCCAGTGTATGCTGTAAGATGCTGTATAGTATGTTGTATGTATGTTGTAGTTTTTCAATTTTCCAGTCAAAAGCTAAGGGATAGTGATTGTTCCAAGATGGCGTCTGTGACTAAACTAAGACTAGAACCTGGCTCTTCTCTCTCCAAGTCCAGCTTCTTAACCATGGCATCACGCCAATCCTCAGGAAGTCAATTATTAGCTCCAAAAGTTTGTAATTTAAACTGATAAAACTATACTACAACACTAGCTTTTCCTATAGGTTCTTTGAATAAAGCAACATACATTATAGAAGGACTGGTATGGCTGCATGAATCGGAAACATAAAGATGCTTACTGCCTTTCAAAAGCCCACATTCAGTTCTGCCAAATGATGTTTTGCTAGTGTTTGTATTATGTACTTGTTTTCTTTCTTTTTGCTCTTAAATTACCTGTTATCCTGTTTTGAATCAATAAAATGAATGAATGAACAAAGAAATGTGTAATTGCTGTGGTACTTACTGAGAAAGCTACATCTTCCAGTGTAGCTGAAAACGATTCAACAAGATTGTGAGGCAACTGAGAGAGAAATCCAATGGTATCAACATATAGAACAGTCAATCGAGATGGCAGGTAGCCAGCATGAGCTGTAATGTCTAATGTGGCAAAAAGTTGATCTCGAGGCTGTAATTTTGCATCCCCTGTGAGGGCCTTGATTAGAGTAGTTTTCCCTAACATAAAGATAGAAGTGATATAAACTGAACAGTTTGCTTCATGTAATATTTCATTAAAAGTGATAAATAATGACAATCATAGAAAATCACTACTGAATGCATATATAGTACATCACTCTCTAGTTTCAAGACATATATTCACTTGAAATTTGGAAATTTGCTCCCAATTTAAAACTTAATTTATCCTGTAGTCTTCTGGATGGAAAGTACAGCAAAAGCTACAACTACAATTTAGAATGTGCATGCCAATTTTCTAATCAAGAAATTCCACATCTTATTTTCCACAAATTTAAACATTCTTCTATACAAAGTTAACATGTTTACATGAATATCTAGCATGATGGTCCTTACCACAATTAGTGTAGCCCATTACTGAAATAATTGGAAATTCACATTTGTTCCGTTGTTTTCTGAGTAAACTTCTATTTTTTTTAAGCTTCTTTAGAGCCTTTCGAATTTTAATTTCTTTTTCTTTTAAGAGACGAAGCTGAATTTCCATGAAGGTTTCACCTGTCAAAAATATAGTAACAGAATATTAGGATTGCTGCATTTTTATTTTTATACCTATATAACTTATAAAAATAAAAATGCAGTAATCATATTTTGCACCAATATTTTGGTGCCATCAGTAGCCTGTAATATTTACATTAATCAGAATAAATGAGCATATAACGAGATATGATGATTTGCAGCAATTCTGCCAATAATAGTTCTGTCAATTATAATATTCTCAAAATCTCAAAAAATATATATTTCTAAAATGTTACACTTTTATTGAAATTCTATCTTATAAATTTTATTAATTATTAAAATTGAATGTATGCTATGGAAATCAGGAATTTTAGAAGGAGTCAAGAACTCAAAATCTGATCGAATATAATGATTCCTTAGTACTCAACTGTTTTGAAACTCATTGAATTTGATACTCAAGGTATTCTGACACAAAAATGTTTGCCTGGTACTCCTCATTTGTTTGGTACTCAATGTACAACTTAGAACTCGTCAATGTCAAATACCTTGTGACATTATTCCTTGTGGGAAAAATTATTTGGTACTCATCATTTTTGATATTCTTCGTGCCTCTCAGAACCAATTAATGATGAGTACCAAGGGACCACTGTACAATACCACAGAAGTATATTCCTTATGATTCTTGACCCTTGATGAATGTATCCTTTATTTTATGTACACTGAGAGCATTTGCACCAAGACAAATTCCTTGTGTGTCCAATCACACTTGGCCAAAAATAATTCTATCTATCTATCATCTATCTATCTATCTATCTATCTATCTATCTATCTATCTATCTATCTATC